ACAAATAATCGTCCAGCGAATTTAATGAACCTCCCTCGAAGATGTAATACTAATTTCAACTTGATCTTTACTGACTCTGAACAAGTATCCTCCGAGGAGAAAAGCATATCATTTATTAATTCCAACTTTGATATGCTGATCTACGACAGAACTAAACTGAGTGTATGATTATCATGACTGTCTCGAACTACCCATCTGGGAACTAGAAAATTTATTATTTCCATTTATTCCATTTCGCCTGTTCGCCGAGCTTGGCAATTTGTTTGCAAACGTTTCATCACCAGCCCAGGTGACATCATCAGTGCTTGTGAAGTAGCCATTTCACAAGCTCAGTTCACCCGAGCTACGAGAACCAATTTTCAATTTCCATTTATCTCCACCAAGTTTTCTGTGTTCTCAAACCAATATCCCCCAGTGTTTTATGAGAATGTCACGGATTAAGTAAACTGTCATTTTCTCCAGTGGTGTTTAATGGAAGCTTTATGTACGTGTAAAAAGACAGATAAATTTTCCTCGCCTGACTTGAAACAGACGTGAGTTCAAAATAGACGCGCATGCAGCACAAACATTAAGTAATGCGTCTCTCGGTGTTCATCAAACTGGGACTTCAGCATCTGAACATGATGTACTCTGATATACTCTGTCCCTGAAAGCAACAAATTCTGAGGCATATGACGCCTTCCTAAGAGCTATGTAGCATCAACTCAACCGGTATACACAAAAGTCGGATGTGTAAAAACCTGTTGTTGAATTCGGTTCCCCCACATAGGGTGTGTTCTCACCATGTTTTACCGTCACCACGTTTTCATTACCAAATGAACCTTCCAGCATCCACACACCGCTCAGAACAATACAGGTAAGCCAGACTTGTGGTCCTGAAATTCTGTTCAGTTCAGTCCAATTCTCACAGGACGATTTGTGGCTCTTGCCAATCTAGCGTCCAGATTCGTGCTTTCAGTGAGTTGCCTTGGCTCCCAACACTTCGATACGCAATTTATCTGAAAGGCAGAATAGTGTGGTGCAGTATCACATCCTTTGAAGTTGGGTTAGAGGTAGTAACCAAACGCTTAGCTGAGGAAAAAATACTATCCAACACTCATCTGGTGCCTTTTTAAATGTATCTACAGCACTTCAGCTTACCACTGCCAGCGGCAACCGGTTCCACAACGGAATTACCATGTTAGTGAAAAAGGTTGGCCTCAGTTACAGCCTAAAATGGTTTTGCTTCAGCCGTAGATTATGCCCCTGTGCGGATCCCAATAAAACAGGCCGTCAAACCTAAGGCCTGATATGGCCTTGACTTGTCCTCTGGTTTTGCTTGCGGTCTTTACACACTGGGTGCTTGGTTTGAAGGCCTGCGTTACCACTAGATCTAGATCCTTTGCCTCGTGCACCCTTTGTATCGACAAGCCCCTTTCTATCTTCGTACCCTATTGTGCTCAAAGTCCCTTTAACGACTTTTTTCGCTTCTTCCTTGTGAGGTGGTTAGGTTCCCGAAGTTAGAGATCCAGTCATTTCAAAACGTTTTTGGATAGTATCACCTACTAGTTCGTACATCTGTGACCTTAAATATATTTGAAAGACTTCTTATACCTAGTATTGTTTCTGGGGCTGTGATTAATGACCGATACCAGTTTGCGTAGACACAGCCCTGTACTACAGTGGTTTCCGTCATACACTGTGCCCATAGTCTCGGCAATAGATGAAAAAAATGCTTTTATTTCCCCGATAGACATAATTTGCTTAGCATGCTTTCAGAAATATGCGCAATTTCAGGCATTCACAAACAAGTAGCGTATGAACCAGCTCCAAACATTTTATTAAACAACCCAATTATGTGATAGAACATTTTGAGAACCCTAAAATTGGGAAGCATGCCTAAAGGGGGCATGATCTGATTGACTGAATACAGGCTCCCAATGGATTGAACTGGAAATACCCACTCACTTCCTTGCGAGTCATCTTGGAGCTAAGCAAAAGCTTCCGTTCCTATTGCTTTCAAAACATTTAGCTATTCTGGCCAGAGTACTTCGTCACAATTCCGCTAATGGATAAACCTTAAACCATCCTCTTTATTGTACATACTCTTCTAGGGTGATTCACACTCAGTCTGAACTTTGGCAAGCATGAATAAAGGAAATTAAAACCTAGTAGATTCATCTAACTTGATGGCTCTTGCGTGTATATAAAATTATGTTAACTACATTGAACTTCACATATTTTTCGTCGTGGTAAGATGTTAATCGAACATCATGATTTGAGCTTCCTAGCAATCTGATTGAGCATTACGCATCTTAAAACGTTTTCATATGTTCAGGTGTCTTTTCATTGATATTTTCCTCGACAGTACTATTCAAAACAAAGCCAAGAGCGATCCATGGATTGATTGAAGTGACAATGGCGTAATTACAAAAAAGGCTGATCATGGTGCGTTTTCGAGCGTATACTCTGGACTTGATATATAGAACAGGTATTGTCACTCACTGTGGTGCTTTTCAACATTAAGTCGACCAATGAAAATGCTTTAAGCAGATTTTACGTTTGTGTTACGCCAGTCGCCTTGGGTTGAGCTTGTTCATTTTTTGAACCGACGATCCAACCAAGAAACCAAAAACTGACTGACTGACGTATTCAGGTACAGAGACTGCTTATGATGAACAAGGAACACAAACTTGAGTGGGTAAATGGAATGAAAAACGTGATTATTTCCATCGCTCGGAGGAAACATTTTCTGATACCTACACCCAATGGATGTTTGAAGAACAGTGAATTAAAGTAAAGATTAGTGCAACTTTGATAAAACAATGCCCGCGTTATGGAAGAAGATACTTTAGGTATCATTTTGATTGTCTATACAATGAGCCTTCATGGAATCGAAATCCTCCGGTAAAATTTAACCCACCAAAGCACTCAGCCAATGAGAAGTTTCATCCAATCAGCGTCGAAGGTATTAACCTAGAAAGGTGCTAAATCTGACGAGCGCGTTCATTCTTTATTCAGTTCAAACACATTCAACATGCCGGGTCTTTTTGCAAAAAAGAATCCCCGAGAGGAGTTACGACATGTTATTTCCAGTGTGAGACGACAAAAATATACCATTCAACGTGAAGTGAATCAATTGATCGCCCAACGAAAGCGAGTTGAGGCAGAAATTAAAAAACGAGCCAAGGAAAACCGGATGGACGAAGCCAAAATACTGGCAAGGGAAGTAGTTGCCCAGCGGAAGGCTATCAAACGAATGTACTGTGCTTCAGCACAATTAGATACTGTTGTTTCAGAACTACAAATTCAAGCGTCAATGGGAAAAATGGCTGGTTGTATGCAGCAGAGTACCGCAGTGATGAAAGCGATGTCACAATTGGTTAAGGTAAGTGAATCAATAAAAAAGGTACATGTTTCAAAGCAATTGTTTGCTCGAGACTAATTGTACTCTTTTCTGGAAGATTCAAATTATTTGGCCACCTCAGTCGTTGTGGTTTGATAGGCTGGTTCTTTTTTGCCTAAACAAAATGACTGTTCTACTATTCATTGTCTTATTTACCGAAATCTGATAAATCTCTTCACTTTAATCTCAGGATGATTCTATCAGCCTTGTCCTTCAAAAGAACAACATTTTCGTCGCAAAGCAGCTCAATTCCATCATGTACCCGGAATGGATTACTTGATGAGACAATTGTTTTTCAGTATTCCAGTTCCAAGCTGTTTTCAGATTACGTGGTAATCACTAGAAGCAGATAGCGGGGTTGAACACGGTTTATACCAATCCGTGGTAAACGTTTGTCAGTGGCAATCTCTCCTTATTATTTGATTGGTTTGACTAGTCCACTGTTTCTGAGTTACGGGACGGTGGATTTACTTGGCCTTGGTCAATTGTGGGTCCTGACACTTGGACTGAATGAACCGAAATTCACGGAGCCCAGATCCGAGCAAAAAGATGAATTAGCATAAATCCAGGCATGTCTAATTCGTACAGATTAAACCTTGATCAGTTACAATAAATAACTGGACTTGCAACGAAGTACTCCAAACATTTGTAGCGTCAAACTGTGTTTTATGACTGTGATATATCTTTCACACAGTAAATTTACTATCTCAAATGTTTTGCGTGTCATTCAAACTAAAACCGTTCGGTCATGGCTCTTAAAATCGTACATTAGTAGATATTTGAAAAATTCTCACTATTTGATAAATATCTCCTAAACCGCCCCACTTGATCAGAAAGTTTTTAAATAAATTTTCAGGTAGAATATGGATGACAATAAGACTGCGGTGGGGCACACAGGAATAGTAAATTCAGGTTATGCTGATGGAAACCAAACTAATTCGTTGTTAGTCTATAGCGCTTTGTTACATGCGATCAGAGCAATACACATGGTCATAACTTGCTGTGTTCAGAATTTTGGATAGCGGAAATACGATTGAACAGCATATTCTACAGCAATTCATTGACGGACCCAACTGTAAGACATGTGGTCCGTTGCTGCTCTCAGTCACATTGTATTTTCGTATGGATAAGTAGAGCTTTCTCGGCAAGACACGGAAGTGTGACCACAATTATCGTTCTGGCGGATATCGCTAGAATGAGCACGAGCACAACAGACAAGCCTCTGGCGATGTCACCAGAAACATTGCTGTACATGGATAGTACATGGTTGATATTTAAAATGCATTGGTCCCAAACCTGAACACTACTGAAACAAAGCCTAGAGCATGACGGTGTGATCTTGATCCATGTGTGACGTTAGATTCATCTCGAAAGAGCTGGTATGAACTGTACCAGTACGCTTCATCAGTGTGGATCGGTCCCGGAGACATATATAAATAAGCTTATAAAAATTCATTTCGTGTGTTTTCCAGTCAGCTGTGAGATGATCTGAGCCAAATTGGCATAAAAAAATTGATTCATTCAGTTTGATATTCCATCACCGATGCAAAGAATAAAGTGGGGTTGGACACCCAAAACATTCTGTTATATCACACCGCACGGATATTGCTTCAAAAATAAAAAATAAAATGGAGTACAGTAAATATGTTTCTAAATGTGATCAGAGAAATTTTTTAGTCACTATTCTCGTTGTTCTCCTTCGTTTTCTTACGCGCAACATTTTTCATCAGTATGGAACAGAACATCCCAATTCGATAGTGTCATCCATATTATTAGTTTATGAACACATCTTATGGATGAACTGCTCTTCTAGATGATAAAGTTCGCAAAGCACCTGGCAGTTATTTCATTCGTGTTCTTGCACGTCAGCACAGCATGTACTTTTTATACCCCGTCGGAACATGCGCATCTATGCGTGAA